GTACGGGGGCAACACTGAGGGTTGCGATCCGTTGCCGGACACGGAAAAAGAAGACAAAAGACAAAAAAAAAAAAAAAAGAGGTAAACAGGTAAATGACACTTAAATTTATCTAAAAAAGAAGCCACCCTTCGTTTTTTTTGCATTTTCGAGTCATCATGAAGCCTTAGTCCACACACTGGGAGGAAACGGTCCGTGCAGCTGATAGTGTGTGGTTAACCTGCGCCTCTAAACTGCACGTCCACTGAACAAACTGCTGATTTGAGGGACAGGGATGGGAGACGGCTTTTGGACAGGGTGTCTGTGGGCCACCCTGGTGCAGCAGGACCTCAGCACATGCCTCCTGGGGAAGTGTCCCCGTGATTTCAAGGTGAAGAGGCCCTGACATGGGGGAGGGAAGGACACAGGGCACAGCGAATTTTCCTCCTGTGGCTCCAGCCCTGAAGCACCTGCCAAGCGCAGTGCTGGACACGTCCCAAGCTGCCTCTGGAACAGTGTCTAGAACTTCCATTAGGAGGTTGTGGCCACAGCAGCTCCTCGGTACGTGGTAGATCATTCCTTTAATGTCAGGTCACAGGGGACGTTAAAGGAGAAGCTGTCTTTTGTACCAAAGTGAGCATGTAATTATTTTGACTTTCTGTTGTTTTGATTCAAGCTATTTTCCATTTTTCTGTCATGTGACAATCAAAGTGGAAATCAATCTTTATTTTTGGATTTGAAGCTACCCTATTATTTGAGTCACTGAGAATTTAAGCCAGTAACAAGGCTCCCCTTAATCACAAATTGCTAGTTGGTAATTAATAGTTTGCATAATCTGTTACTCTCCATGACTTCTCTGGTGTAATGGGCAAGGGCCTGGCGGCCTCCGGCAAAAGTTTACGTTGCCATGTTTCGAGGTGTTTATGTGCGAACTCTCGAGAAAGAGGGTGGCCGTTTACCACTGCACCTGTGGGGCAGGACATCCTGACGTCCTGAGCACACCCTCGCTTCTCTTCAGGGCTCCTGGCAGGTTTTACATGCAGAGGTGACGAGTCCCCTGGGCACGAGAGTGGTCATGCGTGTGCCCGCGGCTGTGGTAGGGGAGTGTGAATGAGATGAGGTGTCCTGGCAAGTGGGACAAGGCTGGGCTGGGCTGAAACACCTGTTGCTTTCAGAAGCAACGATAGCACTATGTGTCCCCAAATGAGGACAGGAAAAACCCACGCGTGGTTATAGTTGTGGCTGTCTTGAGGGCCGTGTCCATGGGACATCCGAACCACAGAGCCATGGAATCTGGAGGAGCCAGGCCCGAGGGTCCTTTCTGTACCCTCTGTTTCTGCCAGCCGCTCCTCCCCGTGACGAAAGGTGAGGTTTTCCAGCACAGGAAGTCCCAGCGAGGGTCCGCAGACCACAGAGCCCCGCTGTCCCGCCCGTGGGAGCCTGGCTGCCTGTTTCTCCTAACGGTTTCTCTCCGCAGCGCGGCCCTGAGCTGGCACTGCCGTGGAGGGAAGCCCCTCACCCCGCCCTCTGCTCTCTGTCCCTCCGCAGGAGCAGTTTGAGTTCGTGCTGACAGCGGTGGCCGAGGAGGTCAACGCCATCCTCAAGGCCCTTCCCCAGTGAGGACACGACCTGAGCCTCGGAGGAGCCCACGCCTGCGAACGCTGCTGGGAATCAGGACGTGACTTTGTGTGTCTTCTGTTGTAATGCATAGTAATAGGGTCCTTAGAACTCCTGTAGTCGGTACTGTTTAGCAGTTAAAAATGTGTATTTTTGTTTAACCAAATAATAATCAAGAGAGATTTGTGGAAACATTCGGTTATGGGGGGGGGAATTGGTTCATCTATTTTTATTTTCTTGAAAAACATTACTTTCCTTAAAGCACACATTCACTTTCTTAATTGCAAACAATGTCAAATTAATGATGCAGTAATTCATACATTCTATATGGCCTCCAAGAAGAGAATTTGCTTGTAATCCGAACTTTCTGGAAGGTGGATTAGTCATGCAGGGAGAGGCCCCAGAGGAAGCTGTCAAGGCACTAAGTGAGGGCCACCGGGTGTAGAAATCACATTTGGCATTTGTCTTTAAGACAATTTATCATCGGGAGAAACCACTGGGACAGATCAGTTCACATCCTGCAGCTTTGGGGCAAATAATAAGAAAATCATCACAGCCTCTCTGAACTGATGCTGTCGACACACTCCCCTGAGCTCCACGGATGGCCACGTCAACCACACCCGCTGCCCCGAGGACAGCGCAGGGACTTCTGAGGCCAGGTGCCTCACATGACCTCCTCACCTTTGCAAAGTTGTAGATGAGCCCCAACCTCGAAACGCGTTCTTTAATGTTAAAATATTGACTTCCACATTCCAGAAACGGATGCCCTAAGGGACACTTTCTGCGAGACAGCCAGAGTCGGGAAAAACCAAGCTGGGCATTGAGCAGGCTCCAGGTCCCCAGGGGCACACAGACCCCGTCAGGCATCCGTGGTCCCCTCCAGGGAGTGCCCCGGGCCCCACCGGCACCCTGGAGAGGACCACGGATCCTTCCGTTCCTGGGGAGAAGAAAATGTTTGCTTCATCTGGGTGCGATCGTAGCACCCGGGAGCAAGGTGAGAGTGCAGCCGTGTCCTGCAGCCTCCTCCTGGGACATCAGGCTCCTGGACCATTCAATGAGCCACTTGTTTTGACATCATGTAGCAGGATTTGCCAAAATAACATGTGAGCATCAGATTTAGCACCACCCCCCGGAAACAGGAAAGTCCTCGTCATTGAACGCAGAGCGAGAACCCAGGAAGGCGTGTTGGCGTCCCTGTGCGCCGCAGGTCTCATCTGCAGGGCTCAGGGTGAGAACAAGCCTTTCCAGCCTAAGTAGACGCTACGGCTAAAAGGCAGCGTGACAGGGAGAGTGGCCTGCCCGATGGGGACAAAGATGCCAAAATACCGTTTATGTCTTTAAATGGTATCGTAACGTGTGTCTGCTTTAATACACCGATCATTTCTTTTCCAAGATTGTTTCTCTGTATCTGAATTTAAGCAATTAACAGAAACAAATTTATCTGAATATAAGAAGTATATACCTACATATAATTTCTCACTCCTTATGTTTCGAGAGAAATCCTCCAGCGTGAGATATACAGACGTATTTCATCGTGTCGTATTAAACTTCTGACTTCACACGCGGTGGTCTTTACTTGGAGAGGAGAGCTCAGCCTTTCTCCATCCGTCTTTTTGTGTCCTGAAGGTTCTGAACGTTTCGCTGGCTAAACAGGGTACAGGCACTTCCTAGAACTCGACGTGGCGTTGCTGTCACGTTCGCGGAGCTAGACGGGCACTAGGACCCGAGTGTCGTTGAGATCTTGTTCCTTATAAAGGGAAAGTGAACGTGCAGATGCTGTACACACCTTCTGTGCCCTGTCCTCTGCCCCAATGAAGGACACGTCCCCACCTCGTGTGGGAACGGGGCCCTGTCCCTGTGTCTCCTCTGAGTTTCAGCTGTGGCTCTGAGCCCATCTGAGGAAGTGCCCTGTCCTCGAGGGATCAGAGGCCTCCCTTATGGGCCATGCCGCAGGGACCCCGCCTGGCGGGAGAGCTGGCCCGGGAACATTTGAACCCCTAACCACGGGGAGGCACCGCTGGGGTGGGCTCGTGGCTTCCCTTTCATGCTGCAGTGCTGAGAACTGAAGGCCAGTGGGTCGGGTTGTGAAAAGTGAGGTGACCCCTGAGCAGCAGCCACCACCCTGGGTGGCTGGTGTCTGCAGAGCGCTGGGGTTCGTGTCCCCAGAAGCCAGCCCCTCCATCTCAGGTGCTTGACTTCCAGCTCTGTCCTCGTCAGCACAGGGTCTCGTGGAACCTCCTCCCGGGCTGGCTTCACGTCGGAGCCCTGCCCGAGCACGCGTGACACCAGAGCGTCTCGTGTACCGCAAAGTGTCTCTGAGCACAGACACTGCCACTAAACATTCCAGACGAGCACGTGACAGTGCGCGGCGCTTCTCGTGACAAACGTAGTTCAGGATTGAGGGCCAAGGGCACCGTGGTGGGTGGAAATGCCCTGCTTCTGGGCCGACCCTGTGGCTCACTCGGGAGAGTGTGGCACTGGGAGTGCAGCGGCGCTGGGAGCGCCGAGGCCGCGGGTTCGGATCCTATATAGGGATGGCCGGTGCGCTCACTGGCTGAGTGTGGTGTGGCTGACACCAAGCCAAGGGTTGCGATCCCCTTGCCAAACACAAAAAAAAAAGAAAGAAAGAAAATTCCCTTCTTCTGCTACGATATTTACAGATTCTGACAAAATGCACTAAAGTATTTTTAATACATAGCAAAGCTCTAAAGAGACAGAGAGAACTCTTCAGATGCATGTCACGAAGGGGGATCTGGGGGCCAGTGTGGGGGTGGACAGTACTGAACCTCACGAGCAGCTCTAAACACGTCACCAGGGCCAGTGTGGGGAGGGGACAGTACTGAACCTCACGAGGGGCTCTAAACACGTCACCAGGGCCAGTGTGGGGGGTGGACAGTACTGAACCTCACGAGAGGCTCTAAACGTGTCGCCGGGGCCGGTGTGAACGCGTCAGGGCCTGCTGTGCTGGTGAACATTAGAACCACCTCTGAAGAAACGGACATGGGATCACACGGTGCACGATGTGCAGACGCGAGCACACGCCTGCAGTGACACCGCACACGTGCTCTTCATCGCCAGCTCCGCGCAGCCACCGGTTTGCACAGGAGGCTCACTTTGACTGTCACGGAGCTCTCACGTCCAGAGCCTGTGACTGTGACTGGGAACGCGTGTCGTCCCGGCGTGAGAGCCGCTGATGTGCATTGACCGGCACAGGCAGAGGAGCAGCAGCGCGCGGGTCCGACCGTCACTCCTGAGCGGCGTGCACGACTTCTGCAAGTGGGGCGATGATCGTTCCAAGTCCTGGAGGAAGATGTCCTTAATTTCTCTGTGCTGCTCACGGTGGAAAGGCGACAGACAGCACACACTTTCAAATTTAATCTGCATTATGAATGTCTTTATTTACTTAAAACCAGGCAATCGACAACACACACACCGGCGCCCCGGGGCACTGTATTTGCCGACTTCTGTGATGTAGACGCGCCCACTGTGAACGATCTAATGGGACGTCCCCGAGCACGGAGTTGGCGGGACGTCAGTAGCTCACCATCCGGGCACGGTGAGTGAAAACACAGTCTACACCTGCTAGAGACAACAGCAAAATGCAGTCCAAACTATCAGAAAGTGGTAAGTCTTAAGTATTTATTACCTGCGTTTAATATAATTTAACATTATTTATCTTTCCTAATGGTGTATTTAACAACCAGTGTACAAAATCCCTAAAAACTGAACAATCTGCTCCTGCAAGTGGCACGAGCCGGCGGCAGCGCCCCTGCCTCAGGATGACACAAGTGTGGAGGATGGCCCCGTCCAGCTGTCCAGCTGGAAAAGAACAGTCCTGCGCCGCGGGAGGGTGTGGCGTCTAGTGTGCCCTACCCACAGGGTGCAGGAAAGCCAAGCTGCAAATTAGGGTTGGAACGTGATCCAGGCTCAGTGAAACCCGTGGGTCCCCAGGTGGACCTTGCACAGCCCACAGAGAAGATGATCCCCAGGAAGATTAGCTCTTCATAAAAAATGACAAAGCTCACAGGGAAACGGGCTACAATCAGGGAGAGTCACTGACATGGGAAGAAACACAGGACAACATACGAAAAGGCAACAAAATCAGTTTTAAAATTTTAAATGACATGAGAAGAATAACAGCGTGAGAAAAAGGAATTAAATTTGAAACAGAACCAAACAAAACTTCTGGAAATGAAACCACAAGGGAACAATTACTTAAAAGCGAGGGAATGCACATTCACATGTCGCACACCGAGGTCGAAAATGCAAGATCCGGGTTAAACGGAAGGTTGGGCACAGCTGGCAACACGCACAGTAAACTGACGATGGGGCTGGGAAGAGCACAAGCAACGAGCGCGTGCGAGGGAAGGTGTGAGAAACTGCAGGCCGTGGGCTCTGGGAGAAGAGCCTGGGCTGGGGGGCTCTGGGCACCTCTCCCAAGGACAGGTGCACTGACTCGGCGTCCTGGTGCTTCTGTCCCGGGTGTGTCCCAGCCAGCAGCAGCTTTTGGCTCAGCATCAGTCCTGACGTCAAGCTCTAGTGCTAGGGGACAGCAGAGACTTGTTTAAAAATTTTATTATCAGGATGAGACTTCCTTCTTGATTGGTGCATGTGACCTGTGTGCCTGACCCCGTGTCTGGCTGCTGTGAAGATTCTCAACCAGAGGAGGGTGTCCCTCCACCAACAACGTCCAGCACTTGGAGGGTCCCTGAGCGGAGGTGAGGAGGGAGATGTGGTCCCTGCTCCGAGGGACTTCAGGATTAATTAGAAAATACAGGCACTTGGGCTAAAGAGAAAACAGGTTAACCAAGGAGGAGACAGGTGGAGGCGACCGTGTCACCCACTTTGCAGCAGGCGGGGCAGGAGCTGCACTAAGCGGGCCCCGGCAGCTGTGTGGGTGGCATCCCTGGCAGAAGAGTTGGTGCCAGGGCGCAGCAGGCACTCCGGATCCACAGTCTTGCGCTTCACCAGGACGCCAAGAGGACCGGCCCCTTCCTCCCATGTTGTCACCTGGGTGTGGAGCTTGTTTGGGAGGCTTTTAGAGACTCACCATTTCAATACTGTGGGGCTTAACCTGCAAGCAATTCAGTAATGCATTATTTTTTTCCTTTTTGTCTTTTTTCGTGACCGGTAACGGGATCGCAACCCTCAGTGTCGCGCCCACACTGTGCTCAACCAGTGAGCAGATCGATCTCTATATGGGATCCAAACCCTCGGCAGGAGCGCCGCCATGCTCCCAAGCACCGCACTCTACCGAGTGCGCCACCAGGCTGGCCCAGTGATGCATTTTTATGAAATTGTTGCTTAAGACTATGGTTAAAAAAAAGGGGGGGTTAGATATAATCTTACAAAAAAGAAAATAAGTGACCCGTGTATTGTAATTCTGCACCTGAGAAACATGCCAGTGCTTATCTTAATAGACCCCAGATCCATTGCTCTCAGGGTACTGGAACGGGGTTGATTGGAATTCCTTAAAAATGGACATGCACACACGTGAGCACACGTGGCCACACACACACGCGCACACCTTGTTAGTAAATAGAGTCTCGTTAAAGATGCCCACTCTCCTGGGTGTGCTGAGCTCTTGTGTGTGTACACCGGTGGTCACGGTCCCCAGGGCCCCTCTGGGCTCACACCCAGCTCAGCAGCCCTTCCCCAGCATTGCACCCTGCTCTCGGGTGGACTCAGGGCTGGCGCACGGTTTTCCATCCTTCTCTGAAACCCCAGGGTCATGGCCTCGCCCTGGTGAGTGGCTGCAGCCCTGCTGGCCGGCAGCCATCCTGCATCTGTTGCCCCAGGACCCTAGGGGCCACCGCGAGCCCTGTCTGCGAGGCCCCCGCTACCTGCTGGGGTCAGAACGCTCTTCCTCCAACCTCTGCAGAATCACAGCGTCAGCGGCTGTGCAGGTTCAGGGCTTCCCTGCGGAGAGCTGAGGTTTCACCTGAAGCCACAGTGTGTCCACCGGGCAGTGCAGACTGAGGACAGGTCCAGAATCTTTACCGTTTTTCCTGCTGAAGCGCACATGCTCACCTCGCCCCTTCCTTCTCTAGCTCTTGCTTCTTTTTTTTTTTTTTTTTTTTTTTTTTTTTTTTTTTTTTTTTTTTTTTTCCCGCCA